ACCATCACTGAAATTTAAGAAAGTATTTTGAAAAAGGAGGGAAAATATCATGATTTTTGTTACCTAACTTTTCCTGGAAATACCTAGGATCATTAATCAATGATGCTTTTTTTCTTCTACCAAAGACTATTTAAAAACCTATGAGGATGTTCTCAAGTCACACTTCATCAATCCTTTCCTCATCAGTTCAGAAACTCGTAGCCAAAGCTGATGCAATTACTGTTGCGAACTTTGAGAAAGAATGCTATAGCCTGCATTAAGTTATAGTAAATATGTTCAGTGGAAGTCCGTATCCCAGAGATGATGTTTTGGTTTTACTAGCTTAAGCAAAAAGGCTACGTGTTGGAGTTTTCAGGATGAGTATCTTATTTGGAAGGTAGGAATGAAACTTTGGTGTTATTTCATGTTTTTTTGGAGTGTTAGAGCTGACAAGTCCGGACATGTCTGTGCTAATTCTAGTTCTTAGTTCCTGAAAGGACCCTCCCTTCCCTGGGCTGATTCAGGATTTATGAGCATGGTATACTCATTGTTATGGGCCAGAGCATTGGATAATTAAAGGTCTGCTTTTCACAGAGCTCCTTCATTTTTTGATGAAGCAGATGTTGCTCCATCTTTTTGCTGATCCCAAGAACTCGTAGATAGCATACTGTATACATTAGCATTACTCACATTTGTAATATTTTGATACCTTCCTAGTCAAGGATAAAAGCTCAAGCTCCATTGTACTATGCTCTGCACAGGCAATTTGCAGAGAAGAGAGTCCCTCTTACAAACCAACCTGAGATCCTACACGAGTGTCAATCAGTGTGTCTCCGCTGGGTCCAGAGGAGCAAAAGCAGCTCACGCAGGCTGACATTTCAGTGGCAGATGACAGACATGATGCCCTGATTTACATAGCAATAGTGGTGAGTGGGAGGATAAAGTAACGCGATGAGCAGAGACGCAGAAGTCAGAGCTTGCCATTTGCCTTTCTGCTGCAGCTGCCTGTGCCAATCTGACTTATTCATCTCCATCCCAGCCCCTTAACAGCAGTCTCCCCTGCACACTTGTGATATCTCATGGCCTTTTGCGTACGTTAGCAGAGAAACTAGAATCTTTTCTGTACTTACCTTCCGTGTTGTCAGAGACACTGAGCAATTCCCAAATGGGAGATGAGCCGAATAAGACAAAGTAGCAGGTCAAATGATGTATGTTCCTTGTCAAGTTAGCAAGATGTTCGTGCATCATGTTTCGATGCCCTTTGTTATCCAGGTACTTGATTGGGGAGTGGTGCAGGTGTGCACAGGGCTGTAGCATGCAGGTACCGCATCTGCGGTGCAGCCCTCCCACTATGCCCCCACTTTGTTCCTTGCAGGCTTCCTTGGCTGATGCCGAAGCTGCTTCCCAGGGCGAAGTGTTGAGCAGCCGGTGAGAGGCTGTGAAGGAAAAAGGGAATACTATAAATATCAGCAAGTGACAGCAAGAGTACTCCAAGGATATGTATGTAATGTTAGCCAAGCAAGACAGCCCCACTCCATCACCAGTGTCTTCAATCAAACACTGATTTCCAAAGGTCTGTTCAGTCCTCATCCGTATATTTCCATGTACTTATGCATGTCACTGGGATAAATTTCAGGTAATGTTGGTATCTTTGGTCTTGCAGATCTTTTTGCAGGAATTAATTGGTCCTGTTGGGAAGTATAGACAGTTCCTAACCCTAATTTATATTATACACATTTATATTTATTCCTAGTGTATTTATAATGGGAATAAAATTTATGCTTTAATTCGTATCTATTCCCAGCAGGTAAAAAGTCCATGAACTGCTGGGAAGTAGATCTGTTCCATGAATTAACAGGCATGGTAATGCATGGTCCGTATTCTGGATTTCGTATACTGGTCCTACTCCTCAGTTATTTCAAGTATGCAGACCTCTGTGAAAGGGAGTGAAGTCGATGTGCCAAATTCAGAGCGTGGCTGAGAGTCTGGGTTATTGGCTAGAGGTGTTGAATTTTCTAAGGCTGGCACTTTACCCTGCACTAGGGCAGAAGAAATGAATGCCTTAGAAAGTCTCTCTCCCTTTCACGTAAAGACAGATTTAAAATTATTGTGTAACACACCCTTCTCTCCATCATATGGCCCTCATTTTGTCCACCATTATTTTCAATAGACCAATCTTCTCTCTTGTTTTTTATCCACTAACCAAGTCTCTGCTATGATTAAAGTGTTTGTGGGCTGCCAGAATTTGATATTTTGTTTCACTGATTTAATTATATTTGTAGCTTGTTTTGTGGCTGTTAGTTTTTATAGCTCTCCAAGTCCTCTTCTTTACCAAATTGTTTACACCAGAATTCTTTTGTTCACTCTTTATGTGATACTTGGCAATTGTGTCCATTTATATTTTGCATTTATTCCTGTTTGCTACATATGGGGGGGGGGAAGTTAATTCGTTCAAATTTTACAATGTCATGAAATAAACATAGGCAGACAACTAAGACAAAAAGGTCTTCCCATAGCTTCTTTATTGCCCCTAATTTTTGCAAGCATAAATGAGAGTGGGGCATGTCTCTTGTGAAATACTGGTAATTGCTTGCTCCATGCCAGCTGGGTAGCGGATAGGCTGAGGAGGAGGTATTAAACGCACACTGCCCCTACAAACAGGGTACTTACTGAGCGTAGTTCAGCATTTGAAGCATGAAGGATGCAGATGGGGACAAGACACAGCAGTAAAAACCAGAATACCTTCACTAACATCAGTGGATGTTAAACTGGTTTAAAGCTTCTGATTTTATCTTTTGCATATCAGGACCAGCTTTTTAAGTTTGAGAAAGGTATAGAAAAAATGGTCTCTGTGAGACCCACCAAGTCTGGAGGAGTTCTCATTGCTCCTTCTGCTCAGCGTTAAACCCTTCCATAGGTGATGATTGTGGCATCCTGTCTGTCGTGCTCTGGGAACAAAACTTTAGGAATTGTTGCATGAAGCTCCCCATCCCTCAGGGTGACCCTAGTCCCCAGGAGAAGTGAGATGTCACACAGGCTGTGTTCAAACAACTATGCTGGGACCCGCATGTCCAGCTGCGCTGCCGCAGGGATGCTGTGCACCCTGTCTCCTTTGCCATGCCCAAGATGGGGATTTCCTCCCATTCCTTAATGCACCCATCTTTTATTAAAATGGATGAAGAAATTTCTCTTGTGACACATCCTCTTGCCTGCCTCTTGGGAAAACATCTGTTGTGGCCACATTAGAGACAAAATCATTCCAAGCACGTGGGCCCCTTCCCTCTTGCTTGGGCTCAGCTATAGTCAGACGCTCCCGTCTTGTCCAGACTGTCAGTATCATCTGTCAGCGGCCACCCCGGCTCATAACGCCATCTGCCAAGTGCTGCTCTGCCACAATCTCTTCTCTTCATGTTACTTTGGTAGTCTCCTGTGTTTCAAAGTGCTTCCCGCTCTGCATCTTCCAAGCGGAGCATTAAAAACATACAACCCACTGTGAGCCTGTAATATTTCCACTTGGACTAGAAGCACAGATAAAGCTAATTATAGCCTTAGCTTTTCCTCATAAATTAAAAAATAACTAGTCTGCTTATTTATTGTAGAGGGCTGCAGAAGATGGCAACAACAACACGAAAACAAGAGTGAGATCTTGGCTCTGCTGGGTTGTGTGGCACAGCCTCCCTTCGACTTTGTGACCTCAGCTGGAGGCGAAAGCAAAGCCAGCGGGGTCCTGGCAGGGAGCTGCTGGCACTGCTCCCGGCGGCTGGCACAGCACAGGGAGATTTGTGGACTTGGGGGCAGCGTGCGGTGGTGCCACAATGCAAGCAGATCTGCTTTTGGGGCAAGGATGCCGCCTCTAGTGCTGGCATCAAGGCATTTCTGGCAGCGCTTTCCAGCTAATGCTGTGTGCGTCTGCACTTGGAATTCGCTAAAAAACAGGCCTTTTCCCTTCAGTCATCCTTCTGTGATCAAGCTGCTTGGGTCGCTGTGGTAGCGTGGCGTTCCCATGGCCTATACTGATGATGGCACTCACTCATAAACCTTCCAAAGTCAGAGGACTTGCATCCCCCAAGAGAAAACACACTATCTGGAAGAGACTTAGCAGGAAGCTGAAGGTTAGTTTGCACATTTGCTTCTTCCAAAACTTCACACGCCAGGGTAGAAGTAGTTTAGGTTAAAGTCACTGACATTGTGCTTAGAAATCTCTTGCTACAACTTTCATCCTTTTTTTCCCCCAGTCAGCTTCCCTCAATCATTGCCCTTTTTAGTGTATCTTTATGTGATCAAGAATGCTGACTTTATAAACTCTTTCGTGGCTGGTCCTTCACTCTTCATTCCTCTAGACAACCTGAGCCAGCCACATGCCCTCCAGAAAGCACTTGTTGCTATTGAGCTTTCAGAGAGCTTCAGGCTGGCTTTTGTGTTTTGCTGAATGTCCTGTTATTACCACTGCTTTGGCAATGATCACAGATGCGTGCAGGCACATGCACACGCATGCTCGCTCACTCACTCACTCGCTCTAGTTCTATTAGTTCCTCGGCTCTAAAGGCCATAAATAAGTGCTCCTAATGCACTTAACTAAAGAAAATAATTGTTGTTTAAACTCATAATTTATGAGTTAAATGCCCAATAGGCAAGAACATTTTATGAAAAGTAACTTAATTCAATAGGCAGGTTTTTAATGCTCATTATTTGCCTGCAATGTATCTAATGCAAAAATTCCATAATGATAAGCTCTAAGTGATGTTTTTAAAGTATATTTATTGTGGATAAATAGCTATTTTATTGCACATACTTTTCTTCCTGTCTTTCACATGCACTGCTTCCTAGCTGGAGGCCCCATTCTGCTTTATCAGAGTCTATTCTTAAATTTCCCTGCTTTTCAAATTTCTCTCACTTATGCTGGTGGAATCGTCTCATTTACACTAGCATGAAGAAGGGAAACGAGCAAACAGACTGAGGGATCCACTGACTTCTCCAGAAGCAGAAGGTTCTAGATTTTAACTTCATTTCACTGTCCAGCTTTAGGTTTTGTCATCATCTTGGGCGCAAGGCCAACAGAGTTTTTCTGTTTTCTTTCCCAGTCAGACCTACAGTATGAGCCAGAGAAACCCTTGGAGGCATGGCTTCCTCTGGAGATTGAAAGGCAAGGCGAAAACCAAAGTAACAGGGTAGAGCAGAGAGTCTTTTTTTGAAATAACCTTACTACTCGCAGATCCCAGAAATCCAAAAATGGTTCCCTCTGCCTTACCTTTCAGGAGGGAATTGCCTTATAATTAGGGTTCCCCAAAAGGGAATTTTTGAATACATGAGCACGATCCCCAGTGAGGGTGCATGAGCACAGCTGGGAACCCCTGCAACAGATAGCTTCTCTGTCAGGAAATGTGGAAGGTGCCAGTCGTTCATTCTGGAGTAAAATGATTATGCAAAAAGAGTATGCTTTTCAGCTGTAAACCTGAAAGTCCATTGGTAATGAATTTCATTTTCAAAGAAGGACTCTTAAGAATGGGATGGAAGAATGAATGTACTTCATGCAATGGAGCAATGTGCCAACTTTCTTTGACTCAAATACCCTGAAAGAAGTTTGGATTGGGCACAAGTACTATCAGATTTAAAGACTGGGGGAATAGTCAACGGATTCTATTTCTTTGCAAAAATATTGTGAAAAAGCCTACATTGACCTTTCCTTAGCGCTCACCTGCTGTTCATCTTCACTTGCCTTCATTTTACTGTGATTCGGTGGTATCTCTTGCCATCCGTGGGCAATGACTGTTCTTATTTTGTCTTGAACTTGCAGAGTGGTCCTCTGAGACTAAGCAGCTTAGGAGACCGAGCAGTGGACAGAGCGTGCTCCTGTCAGTTGGCCCAGTGGCATGGTGGTAACCTTTAAAAAGGCATTACACGTCCCTGGGTTGCTTTCTTTCCCATCTGTAAAATGGAGTTAACTGTGTTCATTTCCTTCATGAAGAAGCTTAGTATCTCCTGATAAAAAGTCCTATACCTTAGTGTTTATTTTTGTCATTAAGACGCTGATTTAGAAATTTCTGGAGTACACCTACATATTGCTGCCTGTTTTGAGAAGCATGCTTATCATGAGAATGAGACTATTCAATTCCAGGGCTGAATCTAACTAATTTGACAGTGACATATTTTTCTAGGATGATGCTTCAGACAAATCTAATACAAGAAAATGAATTGCCTTTAGAGCCAGAAGAAGCCACAATATTGTAAGATCTTACCTGCCCATTTCATCCCAGCACTCCTGTGTTTAGCCAAGTATCTTGTGTTTGATTATGGCAGTGTCCAGAAAGCTACTGTATCTTCCTGTTCTCTTGGTCGCTTGCACCTATAGTTAATCAGCTATCCATTCTTGTAAAAATTGTTTCCTTGTGTTTGCTATGTTTCCTGGAGGAGGAAAAAAATCTCGGGC